AAAAAAAAAAAAATAGTTTGTAATTGATCCAGGCATAAAAATCTCATAGGCTCGGTGCCAGGAGCTTGTGGTTAGGACACCAGCCATATGCACCTGGGCTGACAGGTTCAAACCCAGCCAGGGCCTAATAAACAATAATGACAACAACAACAAAATAGCTGGGTGTTGTGGTGGACACCTGTAGTCCCAGCTATGTAGGAGGCTGAGGCAAGAGGATTGTCTAAGCCCAGGAGTTGGAGGTTGCTGTGAGCTGTAATGCGGTGGCACTCTACCAAGGGCAACAAAGTGAGACTTTGTCTCTAAAAATAAATAGCAAAATGTTAAAGCTTGAATTTGGGTGAGGTGTATATCTGTATGTCATTTTTTGGCATTATTAATGCAATTTTTTTTTAAGAGACAAAGTCTCACTGTATTGCCTTCACTAGAGTGCCGTGATGTCACAGCTCACAGCAACCTCCAACTCCTGGGCTCAGGATTCTCTTGCCTCAGCCTCCCAAGTAGCTGGGTACAGGCACCCGCCACAACGCCCGGCTATTTTTTTGTTGCAGTTTGGCCGGGGCCAGGTTTGAACCCACCACCTTCGGTATATGGGGCTGGTGCCCTACTTACTGAGTCATAGGTGCCACCCAAATGCTATTATTTTAAAACAAATTTTTGTGTTGCCCAGGCTATAGTGCCATGGTGTTAGCATAGTTCACAGCAACCTCAAATACCTGGGCTCAAGCCATACTCTTGCTTTAGCTCCTCTGAGGAGCTGAGACTACAGGTGCCGTCCTGGATAAGTTTTTCTATTTTTAGTAGAGATGGGATCTCCCTCTTCCTCATGCTGGTCTTGAACTCCTGAACTCAAGCGATCCTCCTGCCTCAGCCTCCCACGAACATTAGGATTATAAGCATGAGCCACTGTGTTTTGTTTTTGTTTAAAAACAAAAAACTTTTAAACTCAGATAATTTTCAGAGCTCTAGTTCCTTCTTAAACTTTTAAAATCTAGCTTTTATCTTCATGAAGCTAGGAAACACAGTTGTTATACAGTTTGTGTTTGATAACTCCAGTATCTGGAGTCCTGGTGGGCATCTGGTCAGCTCTTGCAGACGCTCCAAAACACAGTTCCGCCTCTCAGGGCATAAGAAGCTCACAATGGTTCAGCCTTCAGGGTCTCATACTAGAGAGTGGGAGATCCTATCCTGAGCAGACAACTCTGGGAGTCGCAGAGCGTAGCAACTCTAGTAGTAGACAATTGCCTACTCTGGGCAGACATAAGAGTCACATTGCAGGGCATCGCCTGTGGCTCAGTGGGTAGGGTGCCAGCCTCACATGCCGAGAGTGGCGGGTTCAAACCCAGCCCTGGCCAAATTGCAACCAAAAATGTAGCCAGGCGTTGTGGTGGGCGCCTATAGTCCCAGCTACTCAGGAGGTTGAGGCAAGAGAATCACCCAAGCCCAGGAGTTGGAAGTTGCTGTGAGCTGTGTGACACCAGGACACTCTAGGGTGATAAAGTGAGATTCTGTCTTTACAAAAAAAAAAAAAGAGTCAGGGTGGCGCCAGTGGCTCAAAGAGTAGGGTGCTGGCCCCATATACCGGAGGTGGAGGGTTCAAGCCTGGCCCCGGCCAAAAACTGCAAAAAAGAGTCACGATGCATCCACATTTCTCCACCCTAAAGTTCTCTAAAAGCATGGTTCTACCTCATACCTCAGCTCAGCCTCCTCTAGACTGGCTATGTCCCAGGGCTGAAGTAGTTCCAACTCATCTCTCTGAGATCTAATCATCTCTCTGATCTAGCCTAGGTAGTTCTTCCCTCCTTATTGCCTCTTTAATATTTCTTAAAAACATTAAGAAGATTTTTGAAAATATGTTAACTTTCAGGGCTGGGCAAAGTGGCTCACACCTATAATCCTAACACTTTTGGAGGCCAAGGTGTGAGGATCACTTGAGGCCAATAGTTCAAGACCAGCCTCAGCAATATAGTGAGTCTCCCATCTCTACAAAAACATAGAAAAATTATTTGGGGGTGGCACCTGTGGCTCAAAGGAGTAGGGCGCCAGCTCCATATGCCAAAGGTGGCGAGTTCAAACCCAGCCCCAGCCAAAAACTGCAAAAAAAAAAAAAAGAAAAGAAAAATTATTTGGGTATAGAGGAATGCACCTACTGTCCTAGCTACTTGAGGACCTGAGAGAGGAGGACCACTTGAGCCCAGGAGTTCAAGTCTGCAGTGAGCTACAGTGATGCTACTGTACTCTAGCCTGGGCAATAGAAAAATGCTTTATCCTCCCCCTGAAAAAGAAAAAAAAAAAAAATATATATATATATATACACACACACATATAAATAAACTTTCGTTTTTTTAGTTGTCATCAATGGGAAAGTTATCTGAATTACCTAGTTTGTCATAACTATAACCTGAAATTATATCCATTTTTCATTATAACATGAAAGCCTTGCCTTAATTTGTTAAAAATTTGCATTAACCTCACAAATGAGCCAATCACATCCCTCCTCCTATTTTTTTGTAACTTATAATTCACAAGACCCTGAAGCAAATTGACATTTTATAAATACCAGGTAACTAACTAGCTAGCTATAAATACATGGGAAGTTACCATGAGAATTTCAGCCTTGGTTGGCTAAACCATCACACTTGCAACAGAAAGCTGGGCCTAGGGTCCTACGTACCAATTTCCTATGAAAAGTTAATCAGTCTGTGATGCAGAAAGAACGTAAATACTTGGCTTGATAAAATAACTAAATGATTAAACATAAAAATTAGATTAAAAGATACCATTTACAAGATGTTGGATCATTTCTTCTTCTTCATGCCGTCTTTCAACACCATCATCTGTAGAGATTTTAAGCCCTGAGAACTTCAACTCAGTGTAATTCACCTGCTTTAGAATAAGAATAACAATACTATATAGCTGGTACATCTTCATTTCCTTCCTTCCTCCCTTCCCTTCCTTCCTCCCTCTCTCCCTCCTTCCTTTCCCATAGGATTAGCAGAGAGCTGCTACCTGGGGAGCCCTTCCTTCCTTCTCTCCCTTCCTTCTTTCCTCTCTTTCTTTCTCCTTTTTCTTTTTCTCAAAATTTCAAGAGATTTGGGAGGGTGGCGCCTGTGGCTCACAAGAGTAGGGTGTCGGCTCCACATGCCAGAGGTGGCGGGTTCAAACCCAGCCCCAGCCAAAGAAAAAATAGATATGGGGGAGCAAATGTTTATTGCTGCCTGGATAAATTGCACAGGGCTAAAGTCAGGGCTTTTAGTATACCTGTCACCTGAATAGTATATACCTTGGGGGGTTTGTTTTGTACTGAGACAGAGTCTCATTCTATCGCCCTAGGTAGAGTACTATAGGGTCATAGCTCACAGTAACCTTAAACCGCTGGGTTTGAGCAATCCTCTTGCCTTAGCCTCCTGCATAGCTGGGACTACAGGTATGCACCAGGACACCTGGCTAGTTTTTCTACTTTTAGTAGAGACGAGGTCTTGCTCAGGCTGAGCAAACTCCTGAGTTCAAGCGATCCACCTGCCTTGGCCTCACACAGAGCTAGGATTATAGGTCTGAGTCATCACCTCCTGCCTGAATAATGTACACTGTAATCGAAAGAAAATATTTATCTCTCACCCTTCTCCCACTTTACCCTTGTCTTAGTTTCCAAAGTCCATTACACCACTTTATGATCATACATACCCATCTGTTTAGCTCCTACTTATGATAGAACATATGATATTTAGAGTTTTGTATTTGTTTGTTTGTTTTTTGAGACAGTCTTGCTCTGTCCAGGGTAGCATACAGTGGCAACTTTGTAGGTCACTGCAACCTCAAACTCCTGGGCTCAAATAATCCTCCTGCCTCAGTCTCCCAAGTAGCTGGGACCACAAGCATGAGCCATGACACCTGGCTAACTTTCTTTTTTTCTTTTTCTTTTCTTTTTTTTTGGAGACAGAGTCTCACTTTATCGCCCTCTGTAGAATGCTGTGGCAGCATCACACAGCTCACAACAACCTCCAACTCCCGTGCTTAGGTGATTCTCTTGCCTCAACCTCCCGAGTAGCTGGGACTACAGGCACTCGCCACAACACCCAGCTATTTTTTTTGTTGTTGTGGTTTGTCCGGGTTTGAACCCACCACCCTCGGTATATGGGGCCAGCGCCCTACTCACTGAACCACAGGCGCCACCCTAATTTTTCTATTTTTTTGTAGAGGCAGAGTTCTGTTCTTGCTCAGGCCGGTCTCAAACTACTGGCCTCAACTGATCCTCCCACTTTGGTCTCCCAAAGTTCTAGGATTATAGGTATGAGTCACCATCCTCAGCTTGTTTTTCTTTTTTAATACTATCTCTTTTTGATTTTTAAAATTTAGTACTTATGGATCAGCGCCCATAGCATGTGGTTACAGAACCAGCCACATATGCTGAGGCTGGCGGGTTCAAACCCAGCCTGGGTCAGCTAAACAGCTATGACAAGTGCAACAAAAAATAGTCAGGCATTGTGGTGGGTGCCTGTAGTTCCAGCTACTTGGAAGGCTGAGGCAAGAGAATCGCTTAAACCCAAGAGTAGCAGTTGCTGTGAGCTGTGACACCACAGCACTCTACCCAGGGCGACATCATGAGACTCTGTCTCAAAAAACAAACAAACAAACTTGTTTTTAAAGAAATATCACACACAGGCTCAGCGCCTGTAGCTCAAGCAGCTAAGGCACCAGCCACATACACCAGAGCTGGTGGGTTCGAATCCAGCCCAGGCCTGCCAAACAACGACAACTGCAACCAAAGGATAGCCAGGCGTTGTGAGGGAACTCCTGTAGTCCTGGGTACTTGGAAGGCTGAGGCAAGAGAATCACTTAAGCCCAAGAGTTGGAGGTTGCTATGAGTTGTGACACATGCCCTGTGGGCATTCTACCCAGGGCAACAGCTTGAGGCTCTGTTTCAAAACAAACAAATAAACAAACAAAAAAAAGAAATATCATACACACACACATATGGTAAATATATATAAGTAAACAATGTGATGAATTAAAATACACTGAAATGGGTAGCCTAGAGGTTATAAACTACTTGTGTTTGTGGAAACACATGCCAACCACAGAACTGTGATTATTGTTTATCTTATATCTGCTTCTGCCTCTACGTTGAGAATAACATGGTGGCTCATGCCTATAATCCTAGCACTTTGGGAGGCCGAGGCAGGTAGATTGCTTGAGCTCACCAGTTGGAGACCAGCCTGAACAAAAAAAAAAAAAAACAAGACCCCCATCTTTCCTAAAAATAGAAAAAAAAAAAAAAAAAAGCTAGGGCAATAGGATCTCTTGAGCCTGAGTTGGAGGTTGCTGTGAGCTATGATGCCACGACACTCTATCCAGGGCAACAGCTTGAGTCTCTGTCTCAAAAAGAAAAAAGAAAGAGAGAATAATATATCTGGGGACAGTGCAATCCATATTTTGGTTCTTCAAGGTTTTTAAGGTCTTACTTGTAACGTATTTCCATTTAAGATGTTACGGCTAAGATACTCCATTCTGTTTTTTCCTTGAACACCTGTTCTTTTGCCATGTTTTCTTCTTGAGTAACTTGCAACCTGGTGTTCCTTTTCCTTTCTTTCTCCCACCTGAAGAAATCTTTTCTTTGGTTGATGTTGGTCAGCTTCAATGGGAATCTCAGCAGATGCCTTGTGGTCCTGAGGAAAAAGGTCAGAGACAGACTTATAAGATGATAGTTTAAAAACCTTAATACTCAAGGGCAGCGCCTATGGCTCAAAGGAGTAGGGCACTGGCCCCATATGCCAGAGGTGGTGGGTTCAAACCCAGCCCTGGCCAAAAACTGAAAAAAACAAAACAAAACAAAACAAAAAAAAACAACTTAATACTCAAGAAAGAGACTTTGAGTATCAAGGCATTAGTCTTCATTTTTTCCCTGCCCTAGAGCTGAGAGATGTTATTTCTCTCTTTCTCTCCTTCCTGAGTCAACGGGGCCGGGCGCAGTGTCTCACACCTATAATCCCAGCATTTGGGAACCCCAAGAAGGGCTGATCGCCTGAGTTCACAAGTTCAAGATCAACCTGAGCAAGAGGGAGACCCCCTAAAAATAACTGGTTGTTGTGGCAGGTGCCGGTAGTCCCAGCTATTCAGGAGGCTGAGGCAAGAGAATTGCTTGAACTCAAGAGTCTGAGGTGGTTGTGTCACGTTATGATCCCCATGGCACTCTACTGGGGGCGACAAAGCGAGACTCTGTCTCAAAAAAAAAAAAAAAAGCCTCATGGCATCATGAAGGATACATATCAAGTTTGCAGAACACATGACAGAAGGAATTTCCTCCAATTTCAATACTGTCTCCTTTGAATTTGTTCCATAGGCTTGGAAGAGATCTACTACCTGGGGAGCCCTGGAGAGTTACCTGGGGAGGAAAGGAAGCCTCTTCTTCAGATGATATCTCAAAATTGTCCTCTCTGTCATTTTCCTCAGTCTCACCTTTCGTTTTCAGGAAGTGCTCAGGGGGTACATAGGGAGACTTCCAATCCAGTTGCACTTGAATAGATCCATTAGGTTTCCCCGCAGGGTCGATGAGGTTAAAATCACCTAAGAGACACACAGACATCGATAAGACCTGATCTCCTGAAATAGGCAAGTAAACACTTATCAGCACCTTATCTATTTTCCTGTTTTTATTTTATTTATTTATTTATCCTCCCAAGTAGCCTGGACTACAGGAGCCCGCCACAACGCCCGGCTATTTTTTTGCTGTTGTTGTTGCAGTTTGGCTGGGGCTGAGTTCAAACCTGTCACCCTCGGTATATGGGGACGGCACCCTACTCACTGAGCCACAGGCGCCGCCCATATCTTCTCATTTTTAATTTCATGTAATCAATTAACATCTATCAAATAATCATGGTGATGATACACTCCAGAATAACAAAATAGCAGGGAAGCTAAAATATTAATAGAGGAAGATGAGTACGTCCAGCTTTCAGAGACAGTCAAAAGATGCATGGAAAGGAATACAGCTGGCTTGTCATCAGTCATCCAGCCAATGGAAAAGACCACACTATTATTACTATTATCACATGTTCGCTGTGTCCCAGGCATGCCCAAAACACCCATCATCTACACTAGAGTGGTCCCAAGAAAACTTAAGCAAAATGTGTTTTTCCAAATGCCAGACTTATGATTTGTAACACTGATTTAACAGATGGCTCATACCACCTCTCTTGTTTGACAAAGGAGTTGTGAGTAGTAATGTCAGTCTTTTTTTAAGCAATTGTGGTATTAGGAGGAAGGAGGCTCTACACACTTCCTGGAGCATCTAGAAGCTTGTTAAGTATGGTTGGTAGTGGCCGTACCTATCCACAATTCCAAATGAGAACATGGATACCTCTGCCTTATCCTTCCAGGACTGTAACCAGAGAGTCAACCCCTTCTAGGTACACCCTACAACCCTGGGTATTAAAATTAGGTAAGACAGTATAGAACTCAGTTGCAGGGGAGGGTATCCAAGAAATTTGCCTTTGTCATGGTCTGGCACACAAGACCATGGCAAGTCTCTCTAAATTATACCTAGTATTTAAAAGAAGTGGGAGAATTTAGGAAGATTGTTAAGGTCTCAGTTTATAGTCAGATATCTAGTCATTCATGAAGAAACAACAGGCCCTACGGCACAACAGACTTTAAACAAGTTGTTCCAAGATAGAGATATAGAATTCAGGTTGGTTGGGCTATCCACTTAGGAATCTTGCTTTTGTAGCTAAAAAGAGGCAGGGGAGGCCAATGTTTCCATCCAAGTAGTAAAGCTCTTAGTCTTCTGCTATGTCACTCGTGACAACATTCTAAGATTTTAAGAGAGACTGTTCCAAGCAAGTAATCAAAGAAAAGTAGAATCAGGACAGGGAAACAATGCTGGACAGAGAATATAAAGATGTAATAACCCTAAACTCCCACCTTTAATAGATTTGTTTTGCGCAAGAGACAGCAAGGGCACTTGGACTCGGCCAAGGTATGAGCCAGGTGCTGAGTCTTCATCATCAAAAACGTATATAGACAAGGCTTCCCGCCTCAGATATTGATCCAGGTCAGAGTTCACAAGCACTGGAAACCGAGCCTGGTCTCTAAAGTAGGGATTGTTACTGGCTGGAATGATGGTAGTGTCGTGGTCAGAAAAGGTGAAGAAGCGGTACATGGCGTATGGACTGGGTTGGGTTCCCAGACATCGACTCTGGAGGCCGCAGCACCTGGTGATTTCAATCCGCAGCTCATTCTGAGGTTTCCAAGTCTCTGATCTGGACTGGAAAGATGTTGATCTTGGAGTGAGGAAAAGAGCAGCCTGAGAGTGTTGTATGTGAAGCACAGTACCCTTAGTAAGGAAAAACTGTGATCTAAAGGATAGCCTCCTGACTGGGTCACAGAGAAACCTACTGACCTTCACCTGCCTCCAGTTATTTGAGTAAGATACTAGCACTCAGGCCTTATCTTAGACAATGGCACAAATAAGTCATTGTGTTACAGCAAGGAACAGTAGCTAGCTCCAAGAGGATGATTTCATTTCTAATTCAAGCTTCGTCATGGGAATAATCTGGACCAGTAGTGATATGACAGTTTTTCTCTTTCATTCCTGTTTAACAACTGCTTAATGAGGTCAGGCATGGTTGCTCATGCCTATAATTCCAGCATTTTGAGAGGCCAAGGCAGAAGGATTGCTTGAGCACAGGGGTTCAAGACCAGCCTGCACAACGTAGCCAGACTCTGTCCCTAAAATAAAGTTACAAATTACCCAGGCATGGTGACATTCATTTACCAGTCTCAGCTACTGGGAAGGTGGGAGGATTTCTCTGGAGCCCGAAAGGTGGAGGCTGCAATGAGCTATGATCATGCCACTGCACTCCAGTCTGTGTGACAGAGTCAGATTCTGTCTCTAAAAAATTAAATACTTATTGAGAGTGAAAGGCTGAGCAGTTTGGCTGAGGTTCTTTTGAGATACATGTACATATCCTTTTTCTCACCTCATCCTCCTGGGCCTCCCAGGCTCCAAGCACATTGGCTGACAGGTAGACCTGGGCTTTCTTTCGTTTATTGCATGCCTGCAGGCTGCGTCTTATGGGGAAACGCAGCCTCATCCAGTACTCTAGCACCCCAAACTCTTCTCCACCAACTCCTGGGTAGCAGAAGGTATGAAAGGCATGGATAATACAGATGGTGTGGCAAGATTCAATAACTAAGGCAGAGGAAGAAAATGGGAAACCACCAGAAGAGCAACTACAGACTTTGGGGAACTCTACATTGGTCCTAACAGCAGCTGCAGAAAGGTGACAGCACTTACCAGTAAGTATGACCGAGCCATGGACTTTCTCCACAGTCTCTAGCACCCTGTCAAAGCAAATCCATCCAGCTGCAAGGGTGTTGTGCTCACTGGCCACAGCTTGGTGTAGCTCAAGCCGGGCTGAAGCCCCCTGAAGGTATTGCAAGAAAAGGGAATCTATCTCCACCACATACTGGGAGGTGAAGTCATAGAGGGGCTGTGGTCCCACAGATAGTGGGGTACAGTGGGTTTCAAAATCATAGAAGGAATAGGTGCAGAAAGTGGTAGGTTGGGTATCTCCAGCCTGAGCCAAGGCAGCAGATGTCAGGAAGGCCTGGTGGATGTGCAGTTCAAAAAGATTCTCACTCTGATGCAGCAGGGAAAGGTCCACTTCACTCTCGTCTCCATGGGCTGGCAGTGTTTCCAGGCATAACAACTGTCGGGTGCCATAAGCAACATCTTTGAGCTGTTCTAGAGGGGAAAGAAAACTGCCTATCCATTAAAGGGTAGGGAGCTCATCCTTAGAGTAAAGAAGGGTATACAGAGGAGAGTAAAAACACGGTGGGAGTCCAAGTTATGATTATTTCAAGAAACCATGCAATCCAAAAGGAAAGCAAAGAATAACAAGTAGAGTTTCCAATCCTGACAGCCCAATAATCCAATGCTTGCTTTAGGGAGAAGGTATAAATTAAATTAGAAAGTAAACACTAAACTCACAAAAACATGGGGGCATGTTTTATGACGCAGATGACATTGTTTTGGATTACAGCCTTGTCCTACAAATTAATTGGAAATTCCATAAGAGAAGCTAGAAACACGAAATTTGAATATTTTTAAAAGTTTGGTATAATGCCCATAGAGAAAATTGCAAGTTACAGACATAGTATCTAAGACATTACATTGGGCCCTACCAGGAAATGCTTCCCCTTTTGCAGCCAGATCAATCACAAGAGTTGTCATTCTATTTAGAATTTTGTTTTATCATAAGAAGGAAAAAAATCCACTTTAAGTCAAAGAGTAATGGAGTAAAAAATGGGAGAGGAGACTTACTGGAAAGAGGTTGAAAATGCTGGCAGTGGGACGCAAAGATACGTAGACAGTCTACTAAATCTGGATATTACCTTTCATGACCAACCACTCAGAGACTTTGATAGACAGTCTGCTCCAAACTGGGGAGTATTTGAGACATCACAGTGGATTGAAGGTGAAAGTCCTATTTTAAGAGTTAAAGCAATAGGATAAAATGTTCTGGATACATCAGAATGTCTTTTGTCCAAAAAATTCCATGATGGAATATAGAGATTGACCAACGGTTTCTTAAAAGATTAATATAAGTAAGTACAATCAATATATTTAAAACTTTATTTTACATGACATAGGGTCTTAGCATGTAAAGAACTTAGTCTTAGCATGTAAAGAACTTTTTTTTTTTGCAGTTTTTGGCAGGGGCTGGGTTTCAACCTGCCACCTCCAGCATATGGGGTCAGTGCCCTAGTCCTTTGAGCCACAGGTGCCGCCCCAAGAATGTCTACAAATCAATAAGATACTAGTAAGAAATGGGCAAAGAATAAAAACAAACAATTCTCCAAAGGAATAATACAAGTAACTAGTAAACAAAGAAAAGACTCTTTAGCCTTATGAGTGATCAAAGAACTAGACGCATTTTTTTTTTTTTGAGACAGAGCCTCAAGCTGTCCCCCCTGGGTAGAGTGCTGTGGCATCACAGCTCAC